GAAGTCTACACCCAATGGACAAGTAGCATACAAGTAAGTATGAAGTTCATAAATCTTCGAGGACGACGTACTCGCAGCAGCACCTACATAGTCGTCCAACCAACCCCCAGCAGGCATGCTCTACATGTACCATGCCCAAAAAGAACAGAAGCGTCTACTTTAGTAGACCCAAGAACTCCCAAGCCAAGTCAACTCCTCCCGCTATATGCTTATGAAAATCTAGACATGGATTCCTCAAAAAGAAAGGAATTTAAGGATATATAGCAAGAACCGCCAAGGGCGCTTGAAAAAAAAAACCCTCCAAACGCTGCACAAACGACCTATCCGAGTCCTGTCTATCTCTCGTGAAACCCGCTCAATCCCAAAACAACCAGCATGTCTCCTCCGCCCAGAAAAGAGACAGAAAGAGAAAAAAAGTAACTCCTAGCCGGTATACGAGTACGTCCTCGCCCGCGTGACGGGGGTGATCTGATCCGGATCCTCGTCCAAGGCCCCCACCTGGATCGTCTTCGTCCGGTGCAGCTTCGGCGGCAGCGTCGGGCCCGGGTGCAGCATCTGCGCGATAATGTTCGTCGTCGGCCTCTCGATGTTGGTCGACCCCCTCCTCGTCGCCGTCCTCGTGACCCCGAGCGACGCGCCCGACGCCGCAGTGTTCGTACGCGCCATAACGGGCGGCGTCTGGACCTCACTCGAGAACCTCGAGTCTCTGGGGAGGAGGATGGCGCGGTCGAGGCCGTATGGCAGCCCGCGGTGGCGCCCGCGGATCATCATCGCGATGATGATGAGCTTACCGCCCGTGGTGAATTGCGCCACGAGCGACGTGTTGGTAGTTCCGTAGCCCATCGACAGCCCGACGGTGCCGTAGGCGCTCACCACCTCGAAGAGGACGTCGAACATGTTGAACTTCTTCTCCTCGAGCTTGCTGGCCTCGGTGATGGCGAGGATGAAGAGGCCGAGGAAGACGAACCACAGGTCGAACGAGAGCTGGCGCCGCAGATGGGTGCCGATGTAACTTACCGTATCGCGGGACTTCCAGTCCGTGTCCGCAGGCTCCTGGTAGACGCCCAGTGACTTCTCCTCATAGACGTTGGTGCCGCGGATGGAGATGGCGATGGGGTAGACCGAGATGTACATCATGATCATCGTCAGCGTCTGCACCGCCGGGTGGATGAGGTTTATGGGGAAGCAGGAGAAGCCCGCCGTCCGCGTGGACGAGGCCTGGAAGATGGCGTCGGTGATACGGACGTTGGTCGGCAGGTGGGTCACGACCGGGTTGTTACGGTCGAGCACTAGCAGGCACACCACGTCGACCACGTTCAAGATCATCAGGACGAGGAAGAGCCACCATGTCGCGCTCGAGGGAAACAGGAGCGTGAAGCAGCGGCGCGGGTGGTCGAGCAGGAACCTCAGCTCCTCCCAGAGGCCCGTCCCGCGGGGCACGATGCGAGAGAGGATCCAGATGATGAATCGCATCATCACCGGGAACCCTGTGTTGCCGACAATGATCAGGAGCGCCCCGATCATCATTACGAAGGTCGATGTCTGGAACGAGATCATGCTGTCGGGCGTGAGGGTCAGGCCGAGGTCCATGAACAAGGAGTTGGACGTGAAGACCGCCCACCACGCCCTCCCCAGACCCGCGTCGTCTACCACGGCGCCGTACTTATTCTTCGTTAGAATGTACGGCAGCATGCATGCAATGCCGAATATCTGGAAGCCCCAAAAGTAGCACACAAGCACCAGCGCGAGGGTGCGGAGGGACCGGTACTCGATTCCGCCTAGCTCCTCTCTCTGCTCGAGCGTCAGGTTGTGGAACTGCGAGTTGCGACCCAGGGTAGGGGTCCAGCTAAGGTACGGCATGTCCATGATCTTGTCGCGCCCCAACGCCGACCGGACTCTCTCGATAGTCTTGGATCCCGTATGGGTCCTAGCCGCCGCGCCGGAGGGTTGGGAGTCAGTGTGATGATGGGTCTTGTCTTGGGACTGGAGGAGTCGCGGCTTTCGGAACTTGAGGGGGCTGAGGGTGTGGCCCATCGCCCTAGCCCGGTCTTTCATGCCGTCCAGCACGCCATGCTCCCCGTCGGACTCCCTTTCTATTGCGTCCTCGAGTTCCGGCACTGGTCCCCGCTTCCGGTCAGGCTCCTGGATGACAATTGACGGTTTTCCGCGCCTTGGGGATGCGGCCGCGGGTTGCTTTTGTGTCTGGGGATCGATGTCATCGGCGTCCGCGGCGTCGTCGCCCTCCTCCAGCCGCTTTGGCCCCATACCGCGCTCGACATCCCTCGGGTTCGGGATGCGGAGCACCTCGGTATCGCCGCTCTGGTATTGTTCAAGCGGCGATAGGTCGTCGTCGTCGCTTGGCTGAGGAAACTTCGTACGCTCGGCCCCGGCGCCGTCACTCCTTAAGACCGTCGGGGCAAAGGAGATACTGTTGGGGTGGGGTGGTGAGGCTACATCGGCGGCGCCATTCCTATTAAAATACGTGTTCCTCCGGTCGCTGCCGCTGCCGCTGCCGCTGCTCCCCTTGTCGCCCTCATTAGTCGTCTCGGTCGAGGTGTCAGACAGGGCGCCGCGAAGGTCCCCAGGTGGCTTCTGCGGGATGATCATGCCGTCGTTCGTGATGTGGCTCCCGGTCTCTCGGAGGACGGTGATGACACGGCCGCCGACGCCCTTCTCAGCCTGAGATGGGTCACCGTGAGATCGCGATCTCGACTTCGATATGCTAGCGCGGCGGTGGCGGGCCTCCTTGACGAGATTCTGGAAGCGCTTCTCAAACCAGTATAGGCGCAGAAAGACGACGGATCCATGCATGGTGATGGGGGAGGAGAGCATAGGGAACACGTAGATGACGACCTGCTGGAAAGTGTTCAGCGTGTTCACATCGACGGTGTTCAGGCCGGCCTGGGTGTTGGCGCCGGACGCGAAGAAGAGTGAGTCAATGTACGGCAGCTCACCCTTACCGCCACCGTAGATCAGGACGGAGGCGATAATGCTCATGCTCAAGATCCAGAAGTAGTGGGCCGTGATAAAGTTGAAGTGTGGGTTTTTGCTTATGAAGGACGGCTTGATGGCCAAGACTTGGGACCATAGCCAGTTCCCTGCAGTTCGGAACATGGTGACGGCGGTGTCCGAGAAGTCGTATGTAAGTCCGAGGTTCGAGTCGCGGCCCGGGTAAGATTCAGCCACGAGAAGTTCTGTGGTAAGCCCAACAATGGGTTGTTGTTGTTGCAGGACTCCTCTCCGTTATCCTCGAACTGGAAAGGTGCTAAGAGCTGGGAGGAGAAGCGGAGATGTGACGGGTAGTCGGGAAGGAGGTGGAGGGCGACTAAGAGGAAGTATATTTGAAGGAGAGGGAGTCGAGTCCTGGTAGTAGTTAGACAAGACCCAGGCCGTGTGCGGCGTAATGTCTAGGGAGCGGAAGATGGTGAACAGCCAAGAGATCGACAGGGCCACGAGGCGCATCGGATGCAAGCCCGGTGTTAGCTAAGCTGCATCAAGATAGAGTCCAGTGATAACGGAGCACTATTCATGATGAGAAGCTTCGCGGGAAAAAGGGCTGAGTTGAGGCGGAGCCTCCGACCTCGAGTGTGGCGAGCCGAAAGGGAGAAGGTGTCAGGTCAATTGAATCCCATCGCACGCGTATTCGCTTTTTCGATAAAAAAAAAAAAACGCTAAACAGGACTCTGGTCTGGTGTCTCTGAGCCGGCGAGGGTGCGAAAGGGGGAAGGGAATTTAGAGATCTGGAAACTTGAGATCTGATGAGGATGGAGATGGGGGTGGATAGGTAGGCAACTTGATGGAATTAGCCCACTGCCAAGGACCCGACTGGGCAGAGTCGATGACGCGGGCAATGCCAAGAGAAAGAGAAGGGGGGGGGGAGGAGAGAAAACTGGCCGGGGGCGACTTTCTTGGTCAGGAGGAGTGTGTGGTGGTGGCTTAGCGCCTCGGTACAAGTGGGTAGTCAAGAATCAACGGACATGGCAGCATGATTTTTGTCCACTGGGTGGAGAGAGATTGGAAACTAATATGGTGGGAAAATGCGGTGGACCAAGGAGATTAAGCTAGCAAGGGTCGCTCACTACGATGGCAAGTACGACTGCCAGGAAGCGACAACGATTATAATCCTTGTACCTGTGCTCGTACGAGTATTTGTTAAAGTACAGTATTAGTATGGTGCATTTTAGATTAGGCCAAATACGAGTACTCAGTGGGTCAATTAGAGGGAAACTTCATTTAACCTATTTTACGCAAACGTGCGGAGAGCCGGGAAGGCGGAAAACCCAGATCGCTGGGTTTAGAGACAGGGGTGCCGCGAGATGGGGTCGGCTCTTGGCTTGGCTTGGCTTTGCTTGGCTGCGTGTGTGTGCGATGAATACATATGACTACTTGGACGAGTACGAGGAGGAGGCATTCATTCATGCATTGTTCTGTCTTACTTGTATTATATCGTCAGATGGGCGGTACTTTCTTGCTCCTGCATCCTTTGCATCTCTTCCACCCACCCAAGGTACGAGTACCTGCACTTCGGTATGACAGTATTAATACGCCAGTTACTCGAACGAAGTGGGAAATATGGCGGAGGCAGTGCATGGGGTGACTGATGATCGCCAGAGCTGCCTGCAGAATATTAAAGATAGTGCATTCCAGAAAGCTACGCACTGACCACCCGATGATCGGAGCGCTGATATCTGATCATGGATGCTCGATTGGTACTTGAACATTGGCGGCACAGCAGCCGGCACCTGAGGTCGCCTCTGCTTGTATGAGGCGCCGCGGCACAACGCTCTGGCGTGACTAAAAAGATTCGATATCTACCTAGCTCCTAATTCGCAGAGGTGTTCCACGCGAATTAATACCCATATGAGAATGTAATACCGGAACGCCGACACTTAGAGCGGATTGAACGCCTACACTTGGAAAGGATTACTATCGACGACCCAGTCTTCGCCAAACTCTGCTTGTTGAGCAGTCCTATCCGAGCGAGAAACACGCTACGACACGGTCCAATAGTCTAGTTGGTTAGGACGTGGGTTTCTGATCTCTCTCCCGTTAGTAAAATACCTAGCGTGGATATCTGAACCTACCCGAAGCCTCAGTTCGAATCTGGGTTGGACCTTTACAAGTTCATTTTTTATGATTGCTTCTTTTTGCAAGGAAAGACAACATCTTGGTTTTGCTACTCACCTACCTCCCTTCCGACATACCTGCATGCATGTCTCCCGATCTTGTCCATTTTAGACGTGGGATCTCCCAATTTTGGTTACGGCGCTAAGACAACTTCCGCATACGAGGGTGGAGCTGTCTTGTGTTTGTTTCTATGTCCACTCTCGCGGGTTGATAATATGCAGTCCACCTCCATGTTGGAATTGAGCATGGGCTTCGGGGGGCGGAGAGGAGATGGATAAACCACGAGAAGGTGTAACATCGCATGCTCTCCCGTCCCTCCCATTGGTTCCTTCTCTCCGCCATCCCCGGCGCTCAGTTCGGGGGGTGTGAAGATCGCTCGCTGTTGTACAACGCCTGTCGTCCGCGAAACACCCTCTCGATAACACTTGCCGTCCCGAACTGTGTATGATGTCCAATAATGGATGCTCAAGGGGGGTGGTATGGATGAACCGTCCGCTGCTGTCCGAAGTCGCAACGACCTTACATATGAAATATGACAATATTTTTTTCTCCTTCAAGCAGGGGACACAAATCTCTCACCTCTCACCCGAACAAAAAAAAATGAGAGGGGGCGGTGTAAGCTTCCCTTCCCTTCCCGTGTAAGTCCCACGCCGGAGATCAAGTCCGCGCGCGCGCACGCCTTTCCTTATCGCCAAATGAAATCCGTCCATCCGAGCACATGTCCGTCAATGTTCCAGTCAGGAGAGGCGGCGTCTCCGCCCGGTCCGCGCGCGCCGGGGTGGAAGGAAAGTGCAACGTGTATTACGAGGCATGGAAACGCAAGGATGATAGCAGGGGGCGTTTTTGCTTTCCCGTGCCCTGCCAGGGTGAGGGTGGTAATAATTAGAAAGTAACGCCAGGCGGCCGGGATGTTTGATCCCGGCCCCTAGTCCCGCGGGCGGAGGCTTCCGCAATCCCTGCTGAGTTTGACGTCGCCACCCAAGCATGTTTCTTCGCGTTCTGTCTTATATGGGTCCGAGTATTCGTGGATTGTGCTTGTGCTTGTGTCCCGGGGGGTTACATGTCCTTGATATCACCATTTACATGGTGAAAAACGTGCTCATCTATTTTGTATAGCCCGCTTTCCCTTCCCAGAAGACATAAGCCCTACCGATAAGGAAAACGCGGGGAAAAGCAAAGTAGTAAAGAAAAAAGAAGAGTCTGGGGCGAAGGGGGAGCAGCTGAAGAAGACACCGCGCGCGATATAGGGAAAGAATAATGGCTTGGGTGAGATATACCCCCATGTCACGTCCGGCATATTTCCATGCTACATGTACGGAGTAGCTTGTCACAACTTTTCTTTTGTTCATTTTATTATTCACTATACATGACAAGAGAGTAAGGCCCCGTCTCTCTGCACATATTCCGGAGCTCTGCGTAAAAGGTTCCCGTGTCCATGCAGGCTATCATACTTGAGGGAGGGTATGTGAGCTGGCAAGTGCCCCACACCATCCGGGTCCCGATGTCATCACCATCACCTCACCACATCCCGATCCATCCCCGGCCGCATCTCCTTTTGTCCAATTTCATCTTTTACTTGTATTTTCCCCTTTCCGATTTGATATTCTACCCCCCCTTGGTCCAATTTGATGCCTATTCCCTCGCCCAATATACATACCCCAAACTCCAAAATCGCAAAAGAATATCATCAGACCATAGAAACTCCCGGTGTTCCTCCTCTCTATCGTACCTCCCGCAACGCAACCTTGTGCCAACCCCCTGTTCTTTCCCCCTCGAACTCACTGCCCCTCAGCCGCCGCCCTCGCCCTCTCCTTCTCCCTCTCCACCTTCTTAAAGAACGCGCTCTGCGGCTTCTTCTTCTTCTTCAACCCCTTGTTCGCCGCCTTGTTCTGCTCCACGTACGCCATGTCCTGCCCGCCGCTCAGCTCCAGCAGCGACCCCGCCATCCTCCTGACCCCCTTCTTCTTCCCTCCCGCCCCGCGCCCGTGCCACATGTCGTCCACCTCCTCCATCTCCTTCTCCTTCTCGTTGTCGATCATGATCCGCTGCAGTAGCTCGCGCCTGTCCGCCGCCGTCGCGAACGCCAGGTCCGGCGTCCGCTCGATGTTCGCCAGCTGCGTGATCACCTTGAACGCGTACCCCTGGTCCACCAGGAACGCCTGCCTCTTGTGCGAGTAGTGCATCTCGTCCGTGTCCTTGGACACGAGCGAGTAGAAGAAGGCGTTGAAGCCCTCGTCGTTCCTCCGCTTCGCCCGCAGGATCCGCCCCAGCCGCTGCGCCTCCTGTCGGCGAGATCCGTAGTGCGACGAGATCTGGATGAGACACGTGGCCTCCGGCAGGTCCAGCGACGTGTCGCCGATCTTGGAGAGGAAGAGCGTGTTGACCTCCGGGTTGTGCTGGAAGTTCTCCAGCACCTGCAGCCGCTCCGCCTGCCCCGTGTTGCCGTAGATGAACGCCTTCTTCAGTTTCAGCGCGTAGGCCTTGAGCGCGTACACGTTATCCGAGAAGACGATGATCTTGTCCCCCCGCTGCTCGTGGTACTGGATGAGGTACTGGCACGCCTGGAACTTGTTCGGGTTCATGATGTAGAGCAGCGGCTTGTCGCGGTGCTTCGCCCGGAGGTACTGGTCGAAGAATTCCGTCGGCATCGAGCACCACACCTCGGCGCACTGCACCCTGGCAATGTGGCCCTGCTCCGACAGCTCCATCCAGTTCGCCTCGAAGAGCTTGGGTCCGATGAGGAAGTTGAGATCCGAGATCTTGTCGTCCTCGCGGAGGAGCGTTGCCGTGAGCCCGAGCTTCGAGTGCGACTTGATCGACGACGTGACCTTTCGGAAGATGTTCGCCGGCACAACGTGCACCTCGTCGAGGAGCATCAGCCCCCACTCTCGGCCCGTGAGGAAGTCCATCATTTTCTTGGCCTCGTGGGACCTCTCTCGCGTCTGCGTGACCATGGAGTACGTCGTGACGATGATGCCCGTATTGCCCGTGAACATGCCGTTCTTCGAGTCCGACGTGAAGGCGACGATGTCGTCGTGGCTGATGTTCGACCACTTGAGGAACTCGTTCCGCCACTGCACGACGGACATGGAACTCGTGCACAGCACTATAATTCCCTTCTTGATGGTCACCGCCGCCGTGATCCCCACCAGCGTCTTCCCGGCGCCGCAGGGAAGCACGATGATGCCGCTCTTAGCTCGCCCGTTTCCGAACATCTTGCTGAGCGACTTCTCCTGGTAGGGGCGGATAGAGGTACCGGGCCTGAGGTCGATCTCGAGGTTGGGGTTGAGCTCGTCCCGCCTGAAGTCGTACTCCTCGAGCACTGGGTATTCCAGCTCAAGACATCGCTTCTGCACAGTTTCCACGGCGCTGTCACGAATCTCGAACGAGTGCGTCACCTCTTCATCCTCGTCCTCCTCGTTCAGGTTCGCGTAGAGCACGCTGTCGTCAGGAACCTCGGGGTTCTTGTCCGTCGCGACCCCGGCCTGACTCACGCCCGCGGCATTCTTCGTGCCCGGGATGACAAGTCCGGCCATCTTGGGCGCGCTGGTTGTAATTGCCTCGGATCCCTGCACCCGTAGAGGCCCTATTATCTCGTCCTTCAGGAGCTTCTGAAGCACGTCCGGGTCGGGGCTCTCGACGTAGTACTTCGTGTTCTTCAGCACTAGCTTGACCTTTCCGTAGCTCTGTGTGCAGCCGTGGATGAACTGGCGAATACTGTCCGGTAGAGGGATCTTAAGGAAGCGGTCTAGGGTGTTTATGATATCATCGGGCGAGAGTCCGACGGACACGGCGGCGTAGAGACTGTGCGTCGTGAGGGCGTACTCGTGAATGAAACTGGGCCGCGAGAGGGGCTCCGCGATCGTGATGAGGAAGTCCTGCGCCTGCTCCGCGAGAGGGTTGAAGCTCTCGAGGATGATGCGGCCCTTCGCCGGGTCTATCCAGAGCGGTCTGTTCTTATGGTCCGGCTTCATCTTGAGATACGAATAGTCACGGGTGCCGAAGATGTGCGTGAGCAGCTCGTGGTTCGACTTCTTTATCATCTTGCTCTGATCCATCTGCGTACGGCGCTCCATCACGCTGGTGGAGAACTTGTCTACGGCCTTCTCTACGCCCCTCTCCACTTCGACGTCCACGGGTACGGCGTCATCGTCCGTGTCGGAGTAGTCGTCGCTGCTAGCGATGCTCTTCGGGGTCGAGACGCCGGGCGTGGAGCGCTGGGAGGACTTCCCGGCCTTGGCCGTGCCTGAGACGGTGCCTGGTGCCTTTCGCTTCGGCGGCATGGTTTGGGCTGTCGAGGATATTCCCCCGCTGGCGATGGTCGGAAGGTGGCGAGTTCACGCTGCAGCTAGGGAGAGGGCGTGCTAGGCAACAGCGAGGGACCAGGGCGCCAGCGACTGGCCCGACCCGGGCGGGAGCTGGGCGACGTAGACAGGGAGGACAGAAACGGCCTCGGAAGAATCGAAGGTTGGAACAATCACGAAGGAAATCCAAAGGCGTAGAGAGAGGGAGGTTGTGGAGAAAGGAAAGTGTGAACGGCAGTTGTCGCTGGAGAATGGAATATGAGGGTGTTGAAGTACTCGGTACTCGAGTTTGAGTGGCGCATGATCTTGGATAAGCATCACGCCCATTATTACTCAGCTTCGTAGGGTCCAAGTGTGGCGGTAGTGACCAGCAAATTCCAGTGTCCCCCGCGTCATCGGCTTCCGACCCCTTGAACCACTAAATACCAAGCAACAAAAGCCACCTCCTCTGCCTGTCTTTCGCTCGCCGTATTCATCATGTGGTAAGCACTGCTCCCTCGAGTTTAACATTCCCCAAGTGCCATGAACCAAAGAAACTAATGTCTACCCCAGCAAGCACGTTCTAAACGCCCAAGTCTCGATTCGGTCACCATGTTGTATGGCAAAGCCCCACCAAACCTCGTCCACGGGTCCCCTCCATGTCCCATTGCCTCCAATCCTTAACCTCCCCCCCTTCCCCCCTATT